ATAATTTGTTGTTAATTATTAATTGAAGGTTTTACATGGAATTTTAATCAGATTCAAAAATATACTTTTATTATTTAATTTTTCGTATTAATTTCAAATCAGCAATTGTATTTTTTCAATCACCAATAATTTTTGATATTTATACTAATTAGTTAAAAACTATATGCTAACTAAAAGCAATATAGTTCTGAATATTTCAATTATATCATCTATTTAAATACCAAGAGTTATAATAGAAATAATTAATATTTCTTTTAAAATGATTTATTACGATATAAATACAACAAATATAATAAATGATTTTAACGAAATTTTAGATAAATTTATTGTTAATAGTAGTTTTTAACCATACATCAATCTAAACAATACTATTTTTGAAATCTTCATAAAATTTTGTATTTAATCATGTCAATTTTAAACTTGCAAATTTAACTAAAAAAAGTTAAAATTTCAACATTTTTAAATTATAAACTTTATAAAAATCATCTTTAAAAGACCAAAAAAATAGGTTAAACATGAAATTTTGAATCGAAATTTTGTACGGATTATTTTAATATATTAAAAATAAAAATCAATATTTAAATATAAATACTCGATCTTATAAAATAGTAATGTCAAAAAAAGAAACGATGGAAAAATTCTAATTGAAGATATTCAATATAAATGAGATAAAAATCAAACGAATTTTGCATTTTTTCAACCTCAAAAATAATTAAGAAAGAAATCCAAAAAAACCATTCAACGGACGGAATCCAACGACGTACCTCGAGCGTTATATACTAAAGTGGGACGACACAACAACCGTATATCACACCTGTGATTAGATATAAAGGACAATTTAAGCTAGTTCGAAAATTCTGAGTAGTTTCTTTTAACTTAGGAGGCAAAATATTCAAAATAAATTTAAATTTATATTCAATTTAAGTTAAATTCATGTAACATTTATAAAAATTGGTGGACTTATTGTAACCCTTGTAAGGTATTTTAATATAAATATGTTAGAGAAATATAAAATCAAAAGTATTAAATTAAGAATTTTCACACAAAAATAGCATATTTTTTACTATAGTAGCCATTTTCACCATGAATACAATATAAAGTTCGACATTTTTTTTTTATATTAAAGTATATTACATAAGCTTTAATTTAAGATTTATAAAAAAATGTCAGACTTTCCGTAACAATTTCAAAAATTAATTTGAAAAAGTTCATTTTTTGTGAAAAAGTTGTAATTTTAAAACTTCTCCTGTGGGTTGTTAAAAGGTCAGATTAAAAAAAAATATAGACACCAAATGATAGGTAAATACCTAATGTATCTATAAATAAAAATTTTGATTTTGATCCATATATTTTTGGAAAATATATGGTAGTTTTAAGTAAAAATAGTTTAAAAAATGTCGAAAATTACCGATTTTTAAAATTGTAATTTTATTAGTGGATTTCCCCCATTTACAGGGGACGAGGGAATTTTTTTCAATTTTTGAGGGTAATGTTTCCGACTTTATACGATGTGTGATCTTTTGACACATGGTTCATCAAAATCAGTCCAGTGAAAGCTGACAATAAGTGGTAACAAACACAAAAAATAAAAAACCCAGCATAGGAGGGTCGCGGCCCAATGGTGACGTAGCATAGTTGGATCAAGTATAATGATATCTGACAGTGATTAAAATCACTATAAAAAAAAAAAGCTTCGATGTAAATCTTTAGATAGTGTTTAATTTAAAAAAATTGGTGGATTATTCCAAAAGCTACATGATCTGCTAGTTCCTTATTAATATTCTGATTATGATAAAGTATGACGAATGAAAAAGGGATTATTAAAAAATATTATTTCTCATAAAAAAATTGTGTTGATCCATACACTTTTCAATAAGTTATAGCATTATAAAGTTATTTATAAAGTTATATATATAAGTTTTTTACATTTTGTAAAAAATAAAATCGAGAATTTTCTCACAAAAATAGCATTCGGTAGCCATTTTCACCGTGAAGACAAAATAAAGTCCGAAATTTTTTTTTTCTATAATAAAGTACATTACATTAGCTTTAATTTAAAATATATATAAAAGTGTCAGACTTCACGGAACACTTTCAAAAGTTAAGTTAAAAGAGTTAATTTTTTGTGAAAAAGTTGTCATTTTAAATCCCTTCCTGTGGGCAGATAGACAGATTTATAAAAAAAATATACCAAATGATAGGTAAGGACATCATGCATCTATATAAAAAATTTTTTATTGATTTAGTTATTTTTAAAAAAGTTATGGCAGTTTTTAGTAAAAAAAATTGAAAAAATTTCGATAATTAGCTATTTTTAAAATTGTAATTTTTTTGGAAGTTTCCCCCATTTACGGGGGACGAGGGAAATTTTTTCAATTTTTGAGGGTAATGTCTTCGACTAGATACGATTTGTGATCTTTTGACGTATCATTGAAAGAAATCGGTTCAGTGAGAGCTGAGAAAAAGTGGTAACACAAAAAAAAAAAACACATCATAGTAAAACCAATACCTTCTCAGCTTCGCATCGAAGCTAAAAGAATAATATGTCATTACCTTTATATTTTTAAAATTTTTCTATCAATTATTTCGATAGGATAATAAAATAATTTACATGAAATAAAATTTATTTATTTTATAACAATATAGTAAAGAGAATGTAAATAATGATTCGAAATAATATCCTTTACATCATTATATCATAGAGGAATAGGTAAATATTGCTTCTTATTAATTTCAAAATCTTTATATAGCCATTGAAAAATAAATAAATCTGATTGCTTTCTTCAAATTATTATTATCGAACCTTAATAAAATCTGTACCTTGGGTCAAGAAAAATGAAAGAACTTTTCAAATAACTACTACAGAATTTCTAAATATGTTAGCAACAAGATTTTAGTTTCTTTTAGTAGAATAAGAGTTCTTTTTTAAGCTGTAATTTAGATGATATTATCAATATATAGTGAAATTTTGGTCAACTATCGCATGATTATTTGTCATCAAAGTTTAAGACATATTTAAACTATAATCACCAGTCATAAAATCACAGATTAGCATTACCCCAATCCTAAAATACTAAGCCTATACTGAATTAAATTAGTGTAGAGTCATGAATTATTCCTATTAGACATGACTTTACAGTGATAACGGGTGTTTGAATATGTATATAAACTTTGATGTCAGATAACTGAAGTTAAACTATACTTAATTTTTTTTCACTAGTTAATTGAAAATAACATTTTTACAATATTATTGCAGATTGGCCCACTAGGTCTAATGTACAAAAATATATACAGTATTAAGAAAAAATGTTAAGAAAATAAATAAAATTTGATAACACAGTTATATATATTAAAATGGATAGTCATTGATCAATTTTATTTATAAATAAATAATACATGATGATAGGTATAGATACAAAATAGTGTTAAAATTACACATTATAAATTGTTTACATAATACATAAACAATACAACTTATTAATAATTTTTGTCATTAAATAACTAAAAATGTTTGCATATAAATGTCCTACAATTACAAAATATTACGTTATATTTTTCAGTCATTTTTATTTGCATAAATTTGCATTTTGACAATAATATAATTGCTTTTGAATAAAATAAATTTTAATACAAAAGAACAATAAAATTTCGTCCATTCTTTTAAAAATTTTCATAAATACATTCTAATAAAGTATATTTATATATATCACAAATGGCATCAATATAAAATAATAATAGTACATTTAAAACTAACTACTAATCTATCAGGGAAAATCAATTTAGTGAATTAGTTCTTTTAAATTGAAAAAGGTAAATAAAAATAATTTTTATCAAAAGTATTTTTGAAAAGCACATTTTAAGTATTATAGTAATGAACAGCTTTATTCTTTATCATAACATTAGATTTATAAAAAAAAGAACTATAATATAAACCAACAAAATAATATAAAGAAAATAACATGAAATTTTCTTAACAAAAAAAATTGTATATAATTGTATAAGTTATCAATATTATTTAACAAATGGTTACAATCTACATTGGTGTGAGTATTTTGTACTAAAATTATTAAATATAAATAGTACATTTTATTACAAAGCATAAGTATAATGATACAAAATTTGTGGATTTCAATTTATTAAGTTTACTATAGTAAAATGATTAAAAAGAAGAAGTTTTGATTTATTCATTATTATTGTATCTTTAATATAAAGTATTATCTTGTTTACTGACCAATGAAAATTTATCAACCCTGATTCAATTAAAAATATTTACAATTTAGAAGAACAATATGAAATATAAAAATCATTAGTTAAGATTTTTCGATCCAATGGCAGTTAAGAATTATTGTTTAATACTAAAATCTAAAAATTTCATAATTGCATAATAATATTAGCAATGTGAATTTTATATACAAATTGAGTTTTACTTATCTAAATAATGACGTTAGGAGTATAATTTTTTTATCATTAATTTGCCCAATTAAAAAAATAATAAATGGAATTTTATTAAGTTTTAAACATTAGAAGAATAAAATAGGATAATTATCACGAAGTTCAGCTGGATATTAGCCTAATAAGTTATTTTAATATTTTTTTATGATACAAAAAAAAAAAAAAAAATTAATATTAAGAAATAAATATTTCATTTGAACTGTTTCAAAGTGGGAAATTAAAGTAAACATATTAATAATTAGACTACAGCAGTCTATTAGTGATGAGATCACAAATCATTTTTTAATAATTTAATGTCTAAAATAATATGTCTCTGTTACCGTCAAATAGTATACCATACAAAATAAATTAAAAGAAAAATATCAAAATGAATTTGTTAATTGATAATTGTCATTAGAGCACCTTTAACTCTCTGTACAGTTGATATTATTGAATTTTACATTAATAGTCAGCACTTATATCTACAAAAATAAAAGCTAATTCTTAATGATTAACATATTTTGCACCGGTAACTGGTTAATTAAAACAATTGTGGACTGACTATTAGCACCACNTTTTGCACCGGTAACTGGTTAATTAAAACAATTGTAGACTGACTATTAGCACCATGACTCTGGATGGGCGTTACGGTATGTTTCACTTTCTTCATCACTAGGATCTTCTCCATACATATCAGCTAGTTTACGGAATCGTGGACCAAAATTGGATAAGTAATCAAAATTAAGGTCACCATCATCTGTACCTATAAATGTAACAAAATATCTGCATAAAACATATTACAATTTTAAGAAGAGAACATTATTTTACTAACCTGAAGCTAAGGATGATAAAGATCCAACTGAATTTCCTTCTCCTTCATACATATAGTTTCGTACATCATCATATGGTCCCAAATCTGGATCATTATCTACAGAATGTAGTTTGTCTCCGAGGAAGCCACAAATATCTGGTACCTCATCAGGAGCTACACAATTAATTAATTTTATTAAAGAAAAATAGATGTATAATGTACAAAATACCTCTTTTATGTAAATGATTTCCAGTATTGTCATATCCTTGCATTGGTTCCGATCCATCATACATTAAGCGTAAAACATTCAAGTCATATCCTGTCATATCACCTTCGCCACCTCCTTCATCTTCGTAATTAATTATATTTTCTCTTATATCATCTGTATCTTTATATAAATCATCAGCTTTTCTTCGGTGTACCACAACAGCCAATAATAATACTATATTCAAATATAATAAATGTTTTTACACAAAAAAATATAACTATTAAAAATAATAATTAAAGTTGAATAAGTAATTACTTAAGAGGATCGCTAGGCAAACAAATATAGCTATCAAAAAACTAGCATCAATTCCAAATGATACAGCCACAGCAGTGCCACGTGTACATGAAAAATCAACATCTTGTGATAAGCTAGGTGAGCCTAAGTTGTATAAACGACCATTAAAAGTTAAATTTCGAATACAACCATTGAATCCTGTTGAATATGGTTTATATGTCCAATTACGCGTAGATGCTACAGAGTTAAGGTCTAAAAATGATCCTCCAAGTTGCAAAGGACCATTGACATTCAAATATTCATTAGGACCAATTGGAGGACTGAGACTGAGACATGATGGAAGATTACAATTGTCTACTTTCATTTCAATGCTCTAAAATTAATTGTTTAATAAAATGTTAGTCTTAAGAATAGTCAATGATCAATTTTGTTTTATTATAATTAAAATTTTTTTACATACAGTTTTTGTCCAAATAATTTCAATTCTATGCACTTCACCATCAGATATTTTAATTTGTTTCTGTTCAATTTTAAGTGTACCTGAACCATAGTCAACTAGAAGTACAGGATATCCATTTCTAATTTCCAATGACATAAAATCTACACAAAATTAATATGTTGTTATTAGAATAATTTTTAAAATATAAAAAAATATAAAATACCTTGAACCGCTAGAGGGGATGGTTTAATACTGCTGGGTCCAGCATAAAACAAAAGTCCATCATCAGTATTTGAACGTACTTCTAATGACATATGAGATTCCATACATGATTGTAAAGATGGATACAAAGCATAGCCATGACCATAAAAACCAATACTTAATACTTCACAACGAGGTCCTTCATAACCAGCTGGACAATCACACCCAGTGCTATAGTACAACAGAAATTTTAGTTAATATTAAAAAAACTCTAATAATATATAATACAGAATAAAAAATATATTAAATAGTTTTTCATACCCATCTGTTGTCGGAGTACCACCATTAAAGCAAGTTATAACAGAGGGTAACCTCTGTTCACACTGACAAAATGGCTTAATTATAGCTCGTATACCAACAAATGATGTAGTATTTGTAAATACTGCAGCTGGTTCATTACTTTTATTAAGAAAGTTAGTACACGAAGATTCACAATAAAGTTTTTCTACTAAACATTCATCAATATTAACCATAAGAAAAACTACACCCAATTCTTTTTCAAGCTAAAATATTAAATAAAGAATTAATTAATGCTAAATGTTTTAGGCTTACTAATATATACTACTAAGAATTTTATACCTCAGCTTGGTGTAAGTCAATCGCAGAATTAATCCTTTCAGGCTGATAATAAGGTGAACCATGAGCCGAAAATCTAACATCAAGTTGTGTAGTGTTAGGATTGGTTGGTGAATGCAAAATTGTAAATACATCTACATTTTCTATGCTAGCATTCAAAATTAATGCTAATTTTTCCCTTAAAATTGTAGCTTTACTAACACCATACTAAAAATATGATACACATGATTTAATTTAGTTGATTGATTTGATTAAATTTAGTTTAAAAGTTTTTAATAATTATTTTACTTGATTAGGTGTAATAAATTCTTCAGCGGATATACCAGCTAATCGAACCGACCCTGATTTATCAACAGCTTCTTCTGGAATTTCTTTCACAGTTATAACAACAGTTGCATTTACTGAGTGTCTGGGAATTAAACGGCTTTCTTCAGTAATATCAAATTCTAAAACATAGGTCTGTTCCCTAGTCCCCTGAAGCATGGTTATCATACCAGTTTCAGATTTAAGATCAAAGTTTAAATGTGGACCATTTAACCATCTGAACTTTTTATCATGTAAATCCCAGTCATCAGGATCATCAACATAAACTCGACCAATTTCCATGTCAGGTGATTCTCCTTTATAAGTGTAAACAAATATTGAACTTCGTCCTGGCTTCATTGGGTTCTCATTTTCATCACCAATAATTACAAGTAATTTGCTTGTTCCAGTCATTTTTGGAATTCCACTATCTGATATTGTGATGGGAATCTCATAAACTTTTTTTTCTTCACGATCAAATGTTGTCAAAGCTTGAAGTTCAGATCCTAAAACAAAAATAACATTTAAAAAGAAGGTTAAGTAAAGTAAATGAAAATTTTCAATTATGTACCAGAAATTCCAAATTTAGTTTGTATTTCATAAGAAGCATCGGGTGAAATTGAAAATTCAAATGGAGCACCATTTTCAGGTCCATCATTGTCTTTAGCTTGTAATCTAGTTATAGTGCCAGGTGATTGATTTTCACGCCATACTACTGGACCAGGCTAAATTAAACAAATTAATTTTAATAAATATTCATTCTAAAAATTTCTTTAACATTCAGTTTACCATATCTAAAAATGGAGCATTGTCATTAATATCCCTCAAAACAATAATAACCTCTGTAGTTTGTTGTAAACATTTTGGAATTCCACCATTGTCTGTTGCTTGTATAATGACTTGCCAAGTAGCATAACCATTAGGTGGATCACGATCTAAAGGTTTAATTAATGAAAGGCATCCGTTTTTATCAATAGTCATCAATTTACGTTGGTCTTCTTTTACTACTGAGTAAACAATATGTTGATCCAATGATTGATCTTGAATATCAGGATCATAAGCTTCCAACTATATCAAATATTTAATAAAAAAATAATTAAGTAGAATATTTTTATAAAAAACTATTAAGTTAAAAATAAAATAAATATTATTTTTGTATAATTTTACTTTAGTTATACATCCTGGAACTAGTTCTTCTTCCATGATTGTAATATTACTCTCATATTGGCGGAATACAGGTTGCATATCATTGACATTAGATATTTTAATTTCTACAGTACAAAAATCTTCATAACGCCCATCATAAGCTCTCACTTTTAAAACATACTAAACATTTTAAGAAAAATAAATTAATCTTGATGAAATATTATATTTTATACATATATATTAAGTTTGTCAATACTTACATTTGTAATATTTTCATAATCTAGTTGACTATTAACTTTGATTTTACCAGTGGTATTTTCAATTAAAAAAGCATTGAAAGTATTGCCTTCAACAATACTGTATGTGACAGGTGAGGCAGTATCTTGGTCTAAAGCTTTCACTTCAGTTACCAAAGCATTTAGATTAGCATCTTCTGGAATTTCTTCAGCTTCATAAACAGACTGGGTGAATTTTGGAGCATGATCATTCTTATCAGCAATTTCAATACGGAACACTTGTTCACCTATACAAATATGTTTTATTATTATTATACTTAAATAGTCATTTAATAGCCATTGCTACTTCCTAAAAAAAAAGAATCTATGAATCCAGAATAGATATATCATCTGTTAACAGAGATGGATGAAAATTTCTATTACTGTAATAACATCTAATACAGCAAATAATGCTCCTTAACCAAATATCAAATCGGTGATATCCATTTAACCAACCAACTTATCTAGTAAGTTACACATTTTTTCTATTATACAAAAATTACTTTTTGCTTATTATTAAAATTACTCAAGCTCCACTTTAAACTATGCAATTATTTATTCAACAAGTATAATGCAGACTGTTAGATAAGTTAAGGGTCAATACAATAAAGGTTTAAATTACTAACTAATAACTTATAAGGTTAGTTGTACTACTATTAATAAATTATATTTTCATAAGTATATTTTATAACGTTTTTACCTTTATTAGGTTCGCCTGTTGAGTAAAGGGATGATGGAGAATTATCAGTAGCTATAACCTTAACATTGTACACATCTTGTTTCTCTCGATCAAACTCTACAAGGGTAGTAATATTTCCAGTATATCGATCAATGGCGAAAAATTCTTTGTTATCAGCTAATTCGTAGGTTACTCTATTGTTTGCTAAAGTAGAATCGGCATCAATGGCACGCACCTGCATAACAGGTGTACCAGGAGGCTCATTTTCTAAAACTGATCCTGATACAACTTCAGTAAATGCAGGTATATTATCATTAACATCTTCCAGTTGAATGTTTAATTGATGTTCAGCAGCTAAGTTGTGTTTATTCTATACAATATAAACAAAATGTCATAACATTCAAAAAATATTTAAATCCACTGAGGTTTGAATATCTTACTTGAATACGAATATTAAGAACATATTCTGATATAGATTCGAAGTCTAAGTGTCTAGCTAATCGTATGTGTGCAGTGTTTCCTGTTGATTCTAATCGGAATGTGCTTAGTTTATTAGATTGTTCTGTTCGACCAGGAACTAATTCAAACACTGGAGCTCTTTCATCAGTATTTGATCTAAACATATCAAATATATAGAAATTTAACTGAATGGTAAAAAAAAATTTACCAGTATATTATCAAAGTAAAAACTTACTCTGCTGTAATTGTGGCAATGTTGTAGCTAAAATCAGTTAAGTTTTCAGGTAGATAAATTGTACCCTCAGGTATTACAGATGTAAACGTAGGAGCTTTTTTGTGTGATTCCACTACCATAATTTCTAGATCCATGGTAGCTGATTTAGGCACTAAACCTTGATCTGTGGCAGTGGCTCTCATTTTGAACTTGTAAGACGGTTCTCTCTATAAAAGACATGATTATATTTGTAATGGAAGAAAATTATGCAAAATTTATTTTTTAATATTCAATTACATCAATAGGGCGAGCTAGATAAATTACGCCTGTATTTTGGTCAATACGAAAATATTCTGAATCCTGAGGTACTCTGGGAGATAAATCGTACAATATGGCACTATTCATTCCATCATCGATGTCTGTTGCTGATATTCTCATTACTTCATTATTTACAGCCAAGTCTTGAGGAACAGACTCAACATAATTCTAAAGAAACGAAACAACATAGAAATAATTAACTAAAAATCTATATTATATAAAAATTTAACGACTAATAATCTAACACTTGAGTGATTACTAAAATAAATTCATGCACTTATCATAATATTTTGTAAAAACAAAATTCAACTTTGAAACATCATAAGTTTACAATGCGAATATAATTTTTTGTAGCTTTATAAAACATGAAATGAAAAAAAAATTCAAGGCAATTGACATAATTAACTCAGAAGTACGTTTTTATTGATAACACTTTTTCATTTTTATATGTATAAAATATATAGCTCCAAGAATTTCAAATATAATAAACAAAAGAAGTTTTATAAAAAAATATTTGTTTTCAATTTATCTTTGGGTTTATGATTAATAAACCCAATTAATAAGGTCAATAAAAATATAAATTGATCGACGGGAGAGTAAATAAATAAAGAAATCTGTCACTGAGAGTCTTCCCTTTAAGAATAGTAGTGATCAGTGTGTATAATCTTTTCTCGCGGTATCAACACAATAATAAATAACAATTTATTAAAAAAAAGAAACAACTGAAAATTAAGTTGGTTGTTTCTGTTAACAGATAAAGATTAAAAAATTTTTATATAAATATATTTTTTATAAATTGCTTTATGAAGTGAAGTGTATCGAATGACTTAAAAATCATGCGTTCGTGTGAAAAAAATCATACAATGATTCAGTGTTTAAATTGAATAACAAATCTAGTGAAAAACAAAACTGTTTGATTCACACACATGCAAGTACCTTATAGTTGAATCCTCGGTAGACCTGACAGACGAATGAAAATTTGAATTTGTAATAATTTAATAGATTTCAAACAACAATTGTTAATTAATCATACATTAAAAATGGATGTTAGTTTTTGTTAAACAAAAGTTCATTCATACATTTTGTACAGAAAATATGTTTTAATATAATATATTATACGAAATAAAGTTGATATTATCTTTACACTATAATTAATTTAGAACTAAGAACTATGAATATTATTATCTGTTTCATCATATAATATAAAAATGATACTTTGAAAGTAAGCAGTTTTTTTTTTAATGATTTATTGAAACTTAAATTTGATCAAATAGTTGTATGTTTGGTTTTTCTGAACAAAATGTACATAATAATAATAAAAAAACACTGACCACTTTATCAAAAACTGGAGAATTATCGTTTTCATCTTCAATGGTCACCTTAATCGTACATACGTCGTCCAGGTGTGGTTTACCATTATCGGTAGCCCTAACCGTGACGTAAACTTCCTTTTCTCGAGTAGGTTCATCCCGATCAAACATCTACGAGTTAATTAAAAAAAATTATGATTAGTTCAAATGTAATTTACTTGTCGTATCTTTATCAATATTATTCTATTTTATTGATTACTCACGTATTTGGTAGTAATTTCTCCGGTTTGACTGTCAATAGAAAACTTGGATCGTTCTCCAGGGGCGCTGACAAAAGTGTATGTGATGGTACCTCCATCGTCGAGAGGATCTTTGTCAACTGCTTTTACCTGTAAACGTAAATAATAAAAAAAACTACATTAACGAACAATAGGTAAAAATAACTAAGATTCTCATTTTGAGATTACATTAAATTTTTTTTAATTGAAAATAAAGAAAAAAATAATGTCTTTTTTAATATTACACGCCAAAATGTACGGTGGTGTAAATTAATCAGTAACTAAAAACATTTTTTGTATTTATTGTAAGAAACACTAAATTTTACTATACTCGCGTATAAATGATAGAATAACAATAATTTTCGTTAGATTATTAATTAGATTACTAAAGCGATATTAATTTAGAAAAAAATCGACGTAACAGCGATATTGATATATCAATTAAGGAAATATCAATTTCCAGATTTCTATTTTTTTAAATAATTTTTGTTAACATTTAAATTTATTTGATGAAGATAGTAGTGGTCGTTTCAAGACATAAACATTTTATTTCTTTAGCAGTTACAAATACATATATTTAAATATCTTATAATATACAATTATATAACAGTTACATGTACAACGAGTACAAATAAAAAGGCCATCATGATAGTCTTTTAACAAAAAAAGACTGATTTATTATCTCCACTTACTATACGCAGTATAAAATATTTGATTTAATAGTTTAAATATTATTATACTACAATTGATTGCTAAAAGTTTTTCCTTTAATTAATTGGAGTAATCAACATTATATTTAGTAACGTTAAATCTTTGTGCTAACATTAATTTTATCGTGTCATCATCAGTGCAATATCATTTACTTTACGAATAATATTTTAATGAATAAATTTTTCTGATTCAAAATTTATGACCACGATTGCAACAATAGTATGTCAAACTAATAGCAGAAAATAATTATCATACGCGTAAATTAAAAATTATTTTATGGAACATTTGTTGTTCATTGCTATTGTTGAGTTATAATTATTTTTTTCACATGTGACATGACGTATGAGTTTGCTATTAAATAACGCCCCCAATGTATTTAACACACACAACATAATGAAAAACCTGCTACAACAGACAACGAATTCATCAACATCAAATAATATAGCACCAATTACTTGTCCAATTATTGTTAAAATATATTGATAGATTTTAAAAGTATAATTTTATTTTAAATGTTCTTACGGTGAACACATATGTGTTTGTTGGTTGTTCTTCTTTTACACTAGGTTGATAATTCGAGCAATTAGTGAACACAGGTTTGTGGTTTACAATTTGACGATCCGAATCTTGCACCGTCAATCCAGTCTTTGAACCAGGTCCTCGGTTAACCTTAAACTGAAAAAAAAAATTATTTTATGTATACACATTTTTAAAGATTGTAATGTTTGTTTAAAATAAATAAAGCGTTATTGTAAATAATGAATATATGTAAAATATATATATCCGATAGAAATGAATATAGTATAAGTCTAGTATTAAAAATGTAATACTCACATTTTAATGATTATTAAAAATTAAATGTATATTATTAACTAAAAATGTTTAGGTATATCATGTAGTCATTTTCGTAAAAGTTTAAAATACGAATTTCCAAAATGTCTTGTTGATTTTAGATTTAAGATTTAATTAAAATAAACAGTGTAAAAAAGTTACACTAAGATTATGTACGTATATATTTATTAATATTGAGTACCCAAATTAATTTTGAAGTGGAAAGGGTTAAATTGTTCTAAAAGTCTTAAGAAATAATTAGTTATTTGAATGAATAAAATTCAAAACTAATAAAAAAAAAGAACAGTAATTTTATTTTTATAGTTTTCAACAATTTTTAATGAGTGCAGTTTTTTTTATTTTCAACAGAATTATAACTGTTTTCGATCATGGAGTTATTTTAAGTGACTTATGTCCAGGAGAGATTCTATAAGATCTAATTGAAAATTTTAATGGATCACCGATCTAGAGGAATGAATTCGATAAAAGACGATGAAAAGGTCTTTAATTAAAATTACTTACTTCAAATAAAACGTTTTCTTTATATTTATAGTTCGAAGTCACAGACTACCAATTAACTATGAAGAAGTAAACTTAAAGTAGACTTATGCAATAGTTAATGACCTCTAACACTCAAATGAAACTGTTTCTAATCACACAATGAATTAATTTTAATGAAAACAATGCTGAAACCATCTATACATTTTAACATTTAATTTATACATTCGTAAAATAATGAAGAATTAATATTCAACAATTTTAATTTTAGCAAACCATTATGTCTCGCCGACCTTCATCTTTTTTAAGTGATCGTTTTTAACCGCGTTGTGTAACATTTTACAGAAGTGTTTACTAACTCATTCAACAAACGACAGACAATCGATATCTTTACAATACCATTTGAGTTTTATGTATACTCATTAAATGAGTTTAATAGCCTTTTCGGGCAATATATTATTAATTACACAATTTATCGCTTAGACGAATTACCATTTACCAGTTAAAATATTTTTTTTTTAAGAAGTCATGATTGTTTTTGAAAGGGAACTTTGTAGAAGATAAATCATTAAGTTAAATAAGTGCAGTCACGTAACTATGGATATTAGAAAAAATGTTCTGAGTGCAATAAGAAGTAATAGCGTTAATGAATATGAAAATAACAATAACTCATACATATAAATGTTGAAAGAAAATTTTGTATGTTAGAACTTCGATATGGATTTCGGATTTATCAACTTAATCCAACAATTTAATATGATAATTTTATACCTTTAGAGCACATAAAATGATGACGTTGTTAATGCATATTTAGACAACGGTGTCAAATTGACAATTTTGACATTTTCCCAAGGTTAAGTGTATTTTTAAATATTACGGAGCTTGAGGGTTTACACATAGATCAATGATTCATGTAATAAATATTACGAATTATAAGGGTAGAACGAATTTCAGTATGTTTTTATAATTTTGATTTTTCACTGTGTACAAAAGCGTTGTAAATATAAAAAATACAATAAATGACACGCTATACAACCATCATACTAGGAAAAATATTATAATAATGATAATATTTGTAATATGATGTGTTCCATTTGATACAACTGGAATTAAAAATAACCAAACAAACAATATGACGGTTTTTGAAACAAGTACTTGCAAATAAAAACGGGAACATAGATAACAAAAATAATGAACTATCGAATACATAAAAAAATTACACGTTGCAAAAAAAAAATTTATTCAACTTTAGTTCGTTGAAGTTTTTATAGTCAATTACAGCTATTACGATAATCAAAAATAACTTGTAAAGTAATGCACTTATTACAGTTATTTACTATCTGGACCTCATGAGTTATGTACAAATTTTACTGTTATTAATAAAATACCTAATGATAATATAATAATATTTTATGTTACGGATATTGGAGTTTACTATAAGTCTGCTATCCCATTAATATAATAAGGTTTTATAAACAGAAGGTAATATAATTCGCATAGTGACTTATAAAAACTATAGCAAAGAATATAGAAATATGTAAAAAAAAAGTAAATTAGATGAAATTCTAAGCATATAAAAATTGAAAAAGAAAGATGTTGATTTTCATACTAACTATTGAATAAGTAAATATGTTGTTTGCTGAGTTCTATAAAATATTTAATTTATAGAGTTTATAACTCCGAAAAGTAAATTATAAGATAAATTTAATTATGTAAAAATTAGCATTACAATTATCCAAAATTCAGTAAAAATATCTTACTCAAAAAAAAAAAAAAAAACATGTACAGCTGGAATAAAGTTTTATGTTAATTAAGTTATAGACTTTCAGAATATCGAAAAAAATATTAATACTAAAATCTCATTAGATCTGTGATTGCTTTAAACAAATTTCAAAGTTTATTTATTATATGAAGTTAAAAAATTATTCGACTAATTTAACAAGTGTATTTTTGTATAAAAAGTTATATAGATTTATGTAATATCCACGGCACAGTAAAAAGCCTCGCGAAGAAAAAAAAATTTAGACATGAAAAATCAAAATTCAACTTTTGGCAATTATAATAGATCTATAGCATCATTATAACAATTGTATCTTCTTCATTTTCTATTTTCTCGCCTTAATCTCAACTACTTCAGATCGGTCACCCTTATCCTAAACTTCTATTTGACACGATATCCCACATAATCTACGCTCACATCAGCCGTCCTCATATCGCATTCAATAACATCCCTCTATCTCTTTTTTGGTCTTCCTCTACTTCTTCTTCCTTCAACATTAATTTCTATAACTGTTCTTACAATTTAATATAAATAAAATATGAACTTTGGTCAAAAGCATTAATATTCAGTCATTCATAAGACGTTGCAACTTTTTTTTAAAGGGTATCTACGACAGATTAACTTTTTCGGGGTCATACATTGTATATAAGTTCAACCAAGTATAAATTACTTGGTGTATTATTTTAAAATCTTAAAAATGATACATCAAATTCATAAATATACCTTCATTTTTAAACACCTACAATATTTAATAACAGTTGCAAAAAAAAAAAAAATAATTAAGCTTTAAGATTTTACTTACTGGTTTTGGATAATCGTCCGATATGTACGCTTCTGCATGTGGAGCTTTATCCAACAGGTGTCGTTGATGCCTTACTCTTGCAAGCCATAAATTATTGGACGGCACTGTAAAAGTGAATAAATATGATTATTAATTATACAATCAAAAAAAAAAAAACGATTTGCAATAGAAGTAATAATACATAATAATAGTAGTATAGTAATAGTCACAAAAAGTAAAACAAAAATTAGGGTTATTTGTCAAATTTAAAACACTGATACTTTATTTAATTAAAAAATGTTATTTAGTACTTATGATTGTTACTACATGGCCGACGCCAAGTAGTTGGGTTTAAGGCGAAGAAAAAGAAGATGATAGTTACTATTATGATAGTTTTTCTATTTAGTGAAATCTAATGCATTGAATATTGCTAAAAAATGAAAACTTTTTACAATTGTTTACTAGTAATTTCTACCGCAAACAATAAATTTAGGCACAAAAAACACAAGACATACATAATTAACACTGATAGTTTAGTAGGTGCATTTATGAAAAGAATGCAAACCGCCAGATTCTTTCAAAATATGATAATTTCTCTTTGACTATTGTTATGACAGTCGAAAAACTTTTCTCTTATTTTAAAATAATTTTGAGAAACTAAGTTAAAGTGACCATTAGAGATGTGTTGTAATATGAATATGAAGAGTCAAAAATAAAAACCTAAAAAAAACGAAACCTAAAAACCAACCAATCACTTATTTCAGAGGTTTATATAACACCTGATAAAAGATTTATTAATCATCAGAATTCCAATGTGTTTGGATAAAATTAATTGGTAATGTATAGTTTTTTTTCATAGTTTCCAAAAATACTAAACAATTGACGTCATATTCATGAGCAACAAGTATGAATGAGAGAAAGCAATATTTAAAAAATATCTTTTTGAAAATACTTCAAAGTCATTATGAAACCAACCAAATGCAAATTTATTTTGAACCAGTTTTTTTTATTAACAATTTGAAATATTTATAACAAATAAACCTCGATTAAAATGAATTGAAATAACTTTAGTTAACCATTCAGTTTCATTTTATATGATTAGAATAAGAATTGTATAAAAAACTAAGAATTACTTATATTTTGATGTTCTGTATGATTTTGAAAATATTGATCGAAAGTTAATATTTTTATAACTTTTTTGTCAACGTCACTAAATTTTAGCGTCAAAATTTAAGATAATACAGACATAGTACTACATGTACACAAAATATTATGTTTGTATTGTTAAACATCACATCGAATATAATGTTTAATTTTGTGTTTAATAGGTAAAAAACGTTTATATTTGAAATATTATTACGGTTGTCAATATACAAATGTTTTATTACGTATACAGTTTAAGATTTAATATAACCTTACTGTATTAAATGAAATCATTACAATGTCTAGTACAGGACAATGAAGATAAATTAAAATGTATTTTTTCTTTGAACATAAGAGTTGTCAATTTAAACTGCACTATTTCCTTATAGAAATTTCAAATGAACATTACCGTTATGTCACTATACATTTATAAGTTACACAATTATTTCAAATGCATGTAGTAATTTTGCAGGATAATTTGTTGTTAATAATTGAGCTTACACATCAGGTTATAACTGTTGGTGTTATAAAAACTATATAAACACTCGTAACGTCCAAAAAATTGATTGCGCAGCTGAATTGCGTATAAAAAGGCTTTTAGACACTAATGTTTGTTTCATATTATTTGTTTACTTTTTAATATTAATTTAATTTAAACTGATAAATTTAACTTTAAATATCTTATATTAATGTTTATCAAAATTGTTCTATTTTGGAATGGTTATTTTCCCACGACCAACAAGTCATTTCAAACATTTTGTTCATTTCCTCTCATGTAACAGAATGCATATTCATACGTATAGTTCACGTATATAAATGCAGCGAACGAAGCAGAAAAAAATGTTCACGGTATGAGGATCACAGCTAAGGGTATAAATATATAAATAACGAGATAACACCAACATGTTGTTTAATGAGTGGAACGATAGTTATTTAGGAAAATTAGTTTTTTTATTGTTACTTCCAGAACTAACTGATTTTAATAAATATAATATAAATATCATTTATTCATTTTAATTATCACATTTTCCAAAAAAAATTTTAAAGAAATAATTTTAGTAGAACAACTATAAATCAAATAACCTATTTTTCAAAATATTAAGTCAACAAAGAATTTTTTTTTCATATATATTATTTATGGTATTTTCTACAAACATATTAACGAACAAAAATAATTATGGAAACTACAATAAAATAATAAAAAACATTGTAATTAGTCAATAAATTTGAGATGTATAATAAAACATTATTAATAAGCACCAAAAAGTTAAAATAAAAAGAACATTTCAAACATAACAATAATAATAATCACTCTATGGTATGATTTATTCTGAAATGTCATTTTCGAATAGTAAGAAATATTATTAATTTATTTTTATCAATCTAAATTTGGACCATCATTTTGGTTAATGACGATTCCTTCGGAAGAATTATCTATGGAGACATCGTTTGCTGCTAACGCATATGCTTCAGTCATTTCATCTTTGGATATTTCACAAGGAAAAACTGTGTATGGTAGTAATGCTGTTTGCAATTCTGTAAATTTTCCTATGTTATTTAGAAAACGTTTTTGGATTATAGCGTACTTAGCAAACAATCGTTGATATAAAGCAATATTATTGATTTTTTCTTGCGTTTTGTCCTCCTGTACACTTACGATATTTTTCCAAGTTGGGTATAAAGCTGAAAAGTATTTAAAGTTAGTGACAAAGTCATTAAGTATGTCTTTATAATCTTTGTATAAGTCATGTAAAAAGGGATTCAACTCTTCTATTGTTGTGTTGCTATCCTTTATTAATGAAGCCATAGTTTTGGCGGCATTCACCATTTCGTTAAAGTCATCCTCAACATTGTTATCTTCTTCCTCATCTTCTACGTCACTTTCTTCGTCATATTCGTCGTCTTCATAGTCTTCATCTTCATCTTCATCTTCCTCTTCGCTTCTTCCTTCTATTATACCATCAACTTCCTCCACCTCTTTAACATTAGCCAAATTTTGATTTTTCTGTACTTTTAAACTTTTTGTCGCTGTGCAATGAACAATGCTTAAAGTCATCCAACATATGAGAATCTATATACGTTAAGATCAAAAGAAATATTGGTAATAATGAAACATTCTAGGAATTACCAACAAAAAGTGAAATTAATAAATTATATATAGATTGATACGTTCAAGTAATATACTGACTTCAATTGATACGAATATTATGGAAGAATTATTATTTATTGTAAATTGTCAAAAGAAACATGCACAGTGAATTAGGGGTAATTGTAAACGCAATTATTAACAAAAATATTATTTTGAACTTGCATTTAATTTTACAGTAATAAATATAAGGATCAGACTTTTCAATCTAGAATAAAATCTGCTAAATATTAAAAAAAAAAAATTAATTTACAATTAATCCAACTATTTACAATTACTCCATTTCACCCTATCATAGGTTTACATAGAGCAAGATAAATTATAATTATTATAAAAATTACAATATTTTAAGAAATTTTTTTAATTAGAAAATAATTTAAATTTATCATTTATCGTAAATATTAAATTTTAACAACTTGTATAAATCCAAAAAAAAAAGTATAAATCAACTAGTTTTATTTTATGAAAAAATAATTGAACGATTAAATATAAAAATACTGAAAGATTATTTAGTTTAAAAACGTAGAGTTTAACTAAAAAAAAAATTATGTTGGTGAAAATATTGAAATTAAGAATCTAATTTTAAAATACTCACGATTAACAGGGAAAAACTTTTTAACGTAAGCATTGTTATACTTTACTGACAGGTGAATTACAATGTAATAATAACATAACTCTTAATAGTAGAGTCTCCTAATGAATACAACTGTAAATACAATTATAGGCAGAAAACAATACTAATATTAATGTGTTTTAACAACTGTTCAAATTATTTTTAAGATAAACGTTATTTGACTATGTATTTGTTTAGAGAAATTCAAAAGTTGAATTTTGGTCATTATTTTAATAACTCGTAATTTAAGCAAACTTTAAAAATAATTGAAAACTAAATAATAGACAGTAATGAGATTAAAAACTTGATTTATTTAAATAAAAAAAATATCAAACATGATACATCACAATTTTTTTGAGTACATTGAATAATTAAAAAATATTTTTAAATTGAATTAACAAGAACAAGAACATGATGATACTTCATTTGCAGAATAATATGAAGATGTTGATGATGAAGTCGCTGAAGAATAAGAATTAAATTCTTTTACATCAAGCTCTACACAACTATGGCATGAATAATATTTATATAAAGCATCTCTAAATGCATTTCTATTTTTTTCACACACTGATGATTTATAGCGTTTGTATGCAGATGCAATATCCGCTAAACCTTTTTTATTGAAAAATCCAACAACTTTATCTTCAGAACAATCATCAAACACATCAAAAATGTCTTTACCACTTGAAGTCATTACACCAGATGAGCTTACACTTTTTGAAACAGAAGTTGAACTAGAACTGGATGAGGAGAAGGTTTTAACAAATTCTTTTAAATCATTAACGTCTGTGTCAATGCATTTATTATTAGAATAGTGATCATACACAGCCTTTTTGTAAGCAGATAATTTAGCGGAGTTTGAGGTACATTTAATGTAGTCTAAGTAATGTTTTTCAATATTTGATAGCCGCTTCTTTTTAAAGAATGCACATAGTTGATCTTTATTATATTTCTTTAACAAGTCGAAAATATCTTCACCACTTGATGTTTTAACTACAGATATGCTTTTTGAAATAGAACTAGATTTTGTGTTAGAATTTGATGAACACGCAGTTTTTACGAATTCTTTCAATTCAGCTAAGTCCGTATCAACACATAAATGTTTAGAGTAGTAATTGTACAATGCACATTTAAAAGCTTTCTTTGTTTTACCTGAATTACAATTTTTATATTCTACATATATTTTTTCAAGTTCAGACATACCTTTTTTCTTGAAAAATGCACATAACTGCTTTTGATTATAGTTATTAAACAAGTTAAAAATATCCTTGCCGTTTGAATTTCTAACAACACTTCGTTTATTTGATTTTGATTCATCACTCGAACTATTTTTAGAATCTTTAGAGACACATTTTTTACACACTTGAGTATGACTTTTTGACTTGCAGGATGAACAATTTGAAGAACAGAAACTCCTTATTTTAGTAATATCAGTTTCAAGATTTTTATTATTTTGGTAGTATTCGTACAATCCGTTTCTAAAGGCAACTTTAGTCTCTTTTGTTTCATTTTTTTTATATTGGACAAATAAATTTGTAATGTGTTTCATATCTCTTTCCTTAAAGAAGTTTAAAAGATCTTTGTTACTGCAATCATTAAACAAATCAAAAATGTCTTCTCCTTTAGATGTCTTTACGACACTGATACAACTACTTGTAGATTTGACGGAGGTGAAACTGTTTGAAGAACAGATACTCCTTATTTTAGTAATATCAGTTTCAAGATTTTTATTATTTTGGTAGTATTCGTACAATCCGTTTCTAAAGGCAACTTTAGTCTCTTTTGTTTCATTTTTTTTATATTGGACAAATAAATTTGTAATGTGTTTCATATCTCTTTCCTTAAAGAAGTTTAAAAGATCTTTGTTACTGCAATCATTAAACAAATCAAAAATGTCTTCTCCTTTAGATGTCTTTACGACACTGATACAACTACTTGTAGATTTGACGGAGGTGAAACTGTTTGAAGAACAGATACTCCTTATTTTAGTAATGTCAGTTTCAAGATTTTTATTATTTTGGTAGTATTCGTACAATCCGTTTCTAAAGGCAACTTTAGTCTCTTTTGTTTCTTTTTTTTTATATTGGACAAATAAATTTGTAATGTGTTTCATATCTCTTTCCTTAAAGAAGTTTAAAAGATCTTTGTTACTGCAATCATTAAACAAATCAAAAATGTCTTCTCCTTTAGATGTCTTTACGATACTTACGCTCTTGGTAACGCTACTAGAACTTGAACTAGAGCTCGAAGATGTTACGGAACTAACGATTTCTTTTAGTTCAGTAATAACAGTGTCAATAGAGCTTTCCTTTGAATAATGTTTATACAAAGCATCTTTGTACGCTGTCAATTTGGTTGAATCTGAAGTATTCTTGATATAATCCAAATACAAATTCTCAATACTAGATAAATTCTTCTCTTTGTAGAAAGCGCATAATTGATCTTTGTTATATTTGCTGAAGACATCGAATATATCTTTACCGCTTGATGTCTTTACAATACTAACGCTACTCGAACTTGAACTTGAGCTTGACCTAATTGTACTTGAAGAACTTACAGTACATTCAGTGTTTGTGCTATCGGTTTCTATAGAATATTCTGTTGGACAACTTCTTCCACATACTATTGTCTAATAATGGAATATTTTAATATTATTAATGAAATCATAAATAGTTAAAAGATTACTGGTTATATTAACCTAATTAATTTTAAATTTATTATAATTAAGTGCTGTGAAAAATAACTTACTGTAATAAGAAATACAGACACAATGAAAATTTTAGAAGCCATTGTTGAATCTATTGTTGCTGTTTTACTATTAACCACATATATCTTGCATAGTCCAAATGACAGTTAATGAGACAATTTTATATTTATGTATATAAAATTATTTGAAAAAATAATAACGTCATTGAATTTTTTATTTACATATATTTGTTAATTTTTTTTTTAATATGTCACTGAATGATAGTATATCAATCAAATTTCGGCAATGGTATNTTTAATATGTCACTGAATGATAGAATATCAATCAAATTTTGGCAATGGTGTAATGTTAAATATCACTTTAGACATCAAACGTGATACATTATTTACATATGTAATGAAAATAATAATTTTTGTTGATATATGCTATACTATACGACGATCATTACGACAATTCATATTAACTGATTACTTAGCTACATTTATTTATTAGGTTTGTAAAATAGTACATAATTGTTATTCATTGTACAAAAATTATAAATATTTTTATTTTGAGATCACATAAAAATTACTTAAGTGAACCACAAATTAACTGAATTGTTTCATTTGCTACATTTAGGTTGACTGAAAATCAACATTGCGATGACCATAAAGATTTATTAAAACTTTTTTGTTTATCCTAGACAAAGAACGTGAGAATAATCAATCTTTTCATCTACCATGGGTTATGATCATGCAAATCAAAAGGCTTAGTCAATATATTGGTTAAAATATTTATTTCATAATAAATTTAAATTAATCAAAACAGATGAAGGATAACGTGAAAATTCAATATTTTTAGTTGATGAATAATATAAAACTTGTTTTTATTTAACAATATAATACATTATTAATATATTACATTGAAAAATGTATTATATATATATATATTATAATATATTATACAAAAGTTTATTTTAATTTGACTAATGACAAATTTTATTAAATGAGTCGTCTAATTATTTCAAAGGAGGTAAATAAAATACAAGTCGTACAAAATTCTGCGAAATGAAATATAAAATTTATTTAAGACTACAAAATATTACGAACAAAAATATAACACAAAAGTATCTATTATAGCAATTAGTCAATCACTATCTAGACTGCAAAAAAATAAATAAATACTAGATAATATTTAAACATTAATAAATTAACTAATATTAAGTGCACCTCTATTTTGATACAATTACCTGATTTTTTCTGACAATATTTATAAAAAAAATTTTGAAACATGCAAATATAGTTTTATTACTTAATGTTTATTATTTATCTTGACTTAATATTTAATCAAAATTTTCTAAAACAAAAGATCCACTCATATTTTAAATTAATAATTTTTTTTTAGCTTCGATACGAAGATGAAAAGGTTTTAATTTTACTATGATGTGTTTCTTTTTATGTCACATTGGACCGATTTAGTATAACGATAAGTCATTGTGACTCATCGTATCTAGTTAAAGACATTGTCCTTAAAAATTGAAAAAATTTTTCCTTCCTTCCATGTAAAAGGGAAAAATCCCCTAAAAAATTGCAATTTTTAAAATCTGTACACTTCGACTTTTTTAAACTTTTTTTTCTTAAAACTGCCATAAAATGAAACGAACGAAAAAATGAACGAATAGACATATTTTTTTTATTTAAAAAAACTTAGGTATTTGACTTTTATTTGATATAAATTTTTTGAAAATCTGACTATTTATCTGCCCACAGGGAGAGACTCAGCATAGCAACATTTGTAAACAAGTTAAAATTTTACAACTTATTTTATGAAAATGTTCCGAAAATACTGACACTTATATATATATATCTTAAATTAATGCTCATCTAATATACTTTTCTATGAAATTTTTTTTTTCGAAATATAGATTTTCTTCTTGGTAAAAAAGGCTACCCTATTCAAAAATATGCAATTTTTGTGTTAAAATTCTTGGTTTTATATTGTATTTTAAAATACCTTACAAGAGAAGTACACTGATTTTCATGAATATTATGTAAAATTAATTGGCATAGAATATAAAGTTAAACTTATTTAATTCTTTTTTGCTTATTTAAAGTTAAGAAAAATAACTTTGAAATTATAAGTTAGCTTAAATTACCATATTTATCTTCCTACAAATGCGATGTTCAGTTACCGTGTCGGCAAAACTTAGGTCATAAATGCTTGAAGTATAAGGTTCAAAATTACCCGAGAGAGGGAATTTTATTGCACTTTTTTTAAATTATTATTGCGTTAGAAAAAAATGTTTATCTCATTTGATTTTCCACTTATTATCAATAACTTCAATAAATATTAAAAACTACTTAACTTAATCTCCCCTAGTTAGAAAAAATGTCTTATTTATATTAAAACTATTTTACTATGTAGCTTTTATTTGGGGCTGTCATTAATTTTCTCAGCTCTCACTTGACCTACTTTTTTCAACGATACGTCAAATGATTACAATTCGTATCTAAATAAAGATTTTAACCTTCCAGAATTGAAAATAAATTCTAATTCATCAATTAAAAAATTACTTAGATCATGATCTCATAAAGTCAATTAAAATCATTCATTTCTAATATTTTAAAAGTATTTACTGCCGAATAATGTTTGACATGATAATAGGTTACAACTACATAATTAAAAAAATTTACTTTGAAGATTATTAACTTTTTAACTCTATTTGTGTGAATTACAACCAGTCATAAAAATTTCAACAATTTTGGTAGCGTGTTGCTATATAAATAGTTTCTAAAAAAAATGATATTTCAGTTCACCTGAATTTAAGAATGGAAAATTTTCACAATTATAATCAAATTTTAAATACACTCAATCAAGTAGATATTTTTAACAACATTTTCATTATTTTTTTTAATTAAATTAAATCATTAAAATTAATTATGTTTTGAATATTTCAGTTCCTTTTGCAATATCCAAAGTTAATTATTACTATGGTTTTTATTACGATCTATTACTAATTAAGTTATCTATTACGATAAAAATACAAAAAATATTGAGATTTCCTGATAAATTTATTGTAAACAGTAATTATAAAAATTCCTAGCTGCATATTAATCTTAACAAAAACATTTTTTTAATTCTAATAAAATTTTGTATTTAAGTAGTCAATTTCAAACTTGCAAGTTGGGCTAAAAGTCATAATAATAACTTTTAGCTTCCTTTATATGTTAATACTAGTTTATAACTAATAATTAATAATATAAAATATTAGAGGTGAAAGAAAAAATCTCATTGCAGATTTGAAATTAAAACGAACAATTACATAATAAAAGCTTATTTTTGAAACTAACGAAATTTCTTGTAAAACCTTAAATTCATAATTATCAGCAACTATCTTCTGAAAAGTTTTCTTTCAACACTTCAATTTTATATAAGGGTTTGCCATAAAAATGTATAACTACTTAATAAATTTTTTTATAAAATTAGTTAAAATAACAAGTTATAGAACAAACAATTCCATTCAGAAACAATCAGAAAAAATACATTTTGTATACAATAATGGACAAAGTAAAACATTGCCTATTAAGAAAAAATATTCAATTTTTAAAAAAGTATTTAAGTGACAAGACAACAACTAACATTAATCTAAATAAAATTATTTTATTTCATTACACTTAAAAATGCATTGTAATTTTCGATTTAAGTCAACAAGCAAAATAAAATTTATCTTCGCAACGAAGCTATAACACCAGTGAAGTAAATAAACATTACTTATGAACCTGATCAAAAAATTCAAGCTTTTTATATAACTTAAAAAAATATTTACATATACAGCATAGTTCAGACTGCATATAAAAAGCGAATTAATTTATCGCTGAAGTCACGATTTAATTTAAAATAATAATATTCAAACATTTTTTTTTGTCATTACTAATAAAAAATAATTATCTACTATACAAGTAAAATAGGTAATATGGTAGTATAATATACTAGAACAGGCCATATAAAAACGTATGCCACAATAAAAAAAAAAAAACCATCAGAGAAAATAAAAGAAAAAAAAATTAAACTAAATTAAATAAAATTCTAACCAAAATTATAGACAACAGTAGATAAATCAATACTATAAAATTAAAAACAGAAAAGTCAAAATTACTTCAATTATACAAGCAAATTTGTCAAAATAATATATATATATATCAATCATCAAGAAATAAATAACCTACTTTATAAATTAGAAGATAATATAAAAAAAACAGTTATAAAACTCTGTATATTATACTATAGATACTCAATAATTTCAAGACAAAATAATTATTAAAAACCTGGATAATTTTTAAAAGAGAAAAGTTTATTAAATAAGTAATTACAAGTCAATGACTCAATTTTATATAATTTTATTTCTACACACACATTATCTGCAGGCACACGAAGATATTACTGAATTGGAGCTTAAAGGTGTTACGGTACTAACGATTTCTTTTAGTTCAGTAATATCAGTGTCAATACAACAATTCTTTGAATAATGTTTATATAAAGCATCTTTGTACGCTGTCAATTTGGTTGAATCTGAAGTATTCTTGATATAATCCAAATACAAATTCTCTATACTAGATAAATTTTTCTTTTTGTAGAAAGCGCATAATTGATCTTTGTTATATTTGCTGAAGATATCGAATATATCTTTACCGCTTGATGTCTTTACTACACTGACGCTCTTGGTAACGCTACTTGAACTTGAACTCGAACTCGAAGATGTTACGGAACTAACGATTTCTTTTAGTTCAGTAATAACAGTGTCAATAGAGCTTTCCTTTGAATAATGTTTATATAAAGCATCTTTGTACGCTGTCAATTTGGTTGAATCTGAAGTATTCTTGATATAATCCAAATACAAATTCTCAATACTAGATAAATTTTTCTTTTTGTAGAAAGCGCATAATTGATCTTTGTTATATTTGCTGAAGATATCGAATATATCTTTACCGCTTGATGTCTTTACTACACTGACGCTCTTGGTAACGTTACTTGAACTTGAACTCGAACTCGTAGATGTTACGGAACTAACGATTTCTTTTAGTTCAGTAATAACAGTGTCAATAGAGCTTTCCTTTGAATAATGTTTATATAAAGCATCTTTGTACGCTGTCAATTTGGTTGAATCTGAAGTATTCTTGATATAATCCAAATACAAATTCTCAATACTAGATAAATTTTTCTTTTTGTAGAAAGCGCATAATTGATCTTTGTTATATTTGCTGAAGATATCGAATATATCTTTACCGCTTGATGTCTTTACTACACTGACGCTCTTGGTAACGCTACTTGAACTTGAACTCGAACTCGAAGATGTTACGGAACTAACGATTTCTTTTAGTTCAGTAATAACAGTGTCAATAGAGCTTTCCTTTGAATAATGTTTATATAAAGCATCTTTGTACGCTGTCAATTTGGTTGAATCTGAAGTATTCTTGATATAATCCAAATACAAATTCTCAATACTAGATAAATTTTTCTTTTTGTAGAAAGCGCATAATTGATCTTTGTTATATTTGCTGAAGATATCGAATATATCTTTACCGCTTGATGTCTTTACTACACTGACGCTCTTGGTAACGCTACTTGAACTTGAACTCGAACTCGAAGATGTTACGGAACTAACGATTTCTTTTAGTTCAGTAATAACAGTGTCAATAGAGCTTTCCTTTGAATAATGTTTATATAAAGCATCTTTGTACGCTGTCAATTTGGTTGAATCTGAAGTATTCTTGATATAATCCAAATACAAATTCTCAATACTAGATAAATTTTTCTTTTTGTAGAAAGCGCATAATTGATCTTTGTTATATTTGCTGAAGATATCGAATATATCTTTACCGCTTGATGTCTTTACTACACTGACGCTCTTGGTAACGCTACTTGAACTTGAACTCGAACTCGAAGATGTTACGGAACTAACGATTTCTTTTAGTTCAGTAATAACAGTGTCAATAGAGCTTTCCTTTGAATAATGTTTATATAAAGCATCTTTGTACGCTGTCAATTTGGTTGAATCTGAAGTATTCTTGATATAATCCAAATACAAATTCTCAATACTAGATAAATTTTTCTTTTTGTAGAAAGCGCATAATTGATCTTTGTTATATTTGCTGAAGATATCGAATATATCTTTACCGCTTGATGTCTTTACTACACTGACGCTCTTGGTAACGCTACTTGAACTTGAACTCGAACTCGAAGATGTTACGGAACTAACGATTTCTTTTAGTTCAGTAATAACAGTGTCAATAGAGCTTTCCTTTGAATAATGTTTATATAAAGCATCTTTGTACGCTGTCAATTTGGTTGAATCTGAAGTATTCTTGATATAATCCAAATACAAATTCTCAATACTAGATAAATTTTTCTTTTTGTAGAAAGCGCATAATTGATCTTTGTTATATTTGCTGAAGATATCGAATATATCTTTACCGCTTGATGTCTTTACTACACTGACGCTCTTGGTAACGCTACTTGAACTTGAACTCGAACTCGAAGATGTTACGGAACTAACGATTTCTTTTAGTTCAGTAATAACAGTGTCAATAGAGCTTTCCTTTGAATAATGTTTATACAAAGCATCTTTGTACGCTGTCAATTTGGTTGAATCTGAAGTATTCTTGATATAATCCAAATACAAATTCTCAATACTAGATAAATTTTTCTTTTTGTAGAAAGCGCATAATTGATCTTTGTTATATTTGCTGAAGATATCGAATATATCTTTACCGCTTGATGTCTTTACTACACTGACGCTCTTGGTAACGCTTCTTGAACTTGAACTCGAACTCGAAGATGTTACGGAACTAACGATTTCTTTTAGTTCAGTAATATCAGTGTCAATACAACAATTCTTTGAATAATGTTTATATAAAGCATCTTTGTATGCTGTCAATTTGGTTGAGTCTGAAGTATTCTTGATATAATCCAAATACAAATTCTCAATACTAGATAAATTTTTCTTTTTGTAGAAAGCGCATAATTGATCTTTGTCATATTTGCTGAAGATATCGAATATATCTTCACCGCTTGATGTCTTTACTACACTGACGCTCTTGTTAACGCTACTTGAACTTGAGCATATTTTTGTTGGACATGCTCGATTATTTGTGACTGCCTATATAAGTACAGATTTTCATAGTAAATATTTTAAAATAATTGGTTATTAGTTTTTATTTTTATAATCTTAGTATTCGTGTTTTACTCACTATTATCAATGTGAACAATGCTACAAAAAGGATCTTCGCCATCATGCTGATTAATTTTCTTAGCGTAACACAGTGTTCAATCCTAACCAATATGCTTTAGTTTAAATAATATTTTAGTTGCTGTTTATGCTTTTTATATATGCTTGATGCTTATTTGAAAAATAGTAATGTCAGCAATGCTATATTTACACATATTTATTTGTTAATTTTTTTGATTGAATATTCATTGTGATTGTTTCTTTTTTTTTAAAGTCAATTGACTTGTCAATCAAGTCATGAACTTGATTTGTGAACACTGTATAAAAAAATTAGTGAAATCTCACTCTATTTTATTAATTTTATTTTGTACACTGGTGTTATCATATTTACCCCTGTTACATATTGGTAACCTTAGTTTATGTAGAAATAGAATAAAAAATATTTAAATAAATTAAAACCATTCAAATTATACCAAATAAGGTAATTTTTTAAATTTATGATTAATCATGTATAATCTCCCAACAAATATCATTAATATTGTAAAAAAAGTTTCAGTCTTGAATTTTTAACAAATAATTCTAAAATTCATATAATTAGAATTTTACAACATTTCATCACAAAGTCCTATGTTTGTCATTCCCTAATCTGAAATATTTATTATATATTGTTACTCTTTTACCTATAAATGTTATCCATGTTTCTTACTAACTATATAGCACATAGTCTTGATAGATCAAAGCTTTCATCTACTTAGAGTTTTCAGTTATTAGATAATGGTTAAAATTTCGTAACTAAAGATCAGTATTAATAATGAAAATCGTATAAATGAAGAATTTTTTCCTAACTAAAGTTTAATTATAGTTAAAAGTTTCATAATGAAATATAATGTAGAAATTTTTATTTCAAGTTAAACATATTTAAAATCATGGATATTATGATCTTATCTCTTATGAGCGTATAAAATCAATTTATCTTTATGATAACTTCAGCTTTATTGGCAATTTCATATTTAATTTTTATAGAATTAGGCTGATAAATATTTATTCAAACATTTGTCTTATATTATAAATTGATGTAATTGACTGTTTAGTTAATACTACTAAAATGATGTTTAATAATAATAACTTGAAGTCTTATTTATATCATAAGTTACAGCACACTTTTTGAACGCATTGATAAATTAGTATTAAAATAAATTACAACCTTAGACTTTACTTTACAGTAACAGGGGTTTTATTTTATTGCAAACTATTTAAAAATTATTGGTAAAAATAATTAAATTTATATTCTAATATAATAACAGAAAATAATATTTTTTAAATATAAAGTCTACAAATATTAAATCTAAAATATTAAATAGTTAAATTATTTAATTTTTTCAAATTTTATGTTTTACTTTTTAATAGTAATTTGAAAATTCGAAAACAAAAGAGTTCATATGTAATCTTAATTGTCATTATAGATAAGTTTAATAAATGACAATGTAAAGCAATGCAGAGAATAATAATTGAAAAAAATAATTAGAAAGTAAATATTTCACTTAATTTACATTATTTCTACTATTACATAGTCAATTTTATAATGAAAAATGACTGAAATTTATTTGCCTTAACTAATTTTGTTAGTATAAAATATAGGTGTAATTGAAGTTTAAATAAATTTGACATTTAACTACGCATAGTGGTTGATAAACTATGAAAGATCGAGATCCTATAACACTTCTACTAGTCAAGGCGGTTATAAAACAACCATAAACAAAAAACTGTGTCGCAGTTGAATGGTATATATATATCATAAAAAAATATATATAATTTAAATTTTACAGGATAATTTTGAATCATCAAATTTTCTAGGTTTTCTACTTGTGAATAAAACATAATTTAAAAAAACATTTTTGAAACGACCATGTCGATGTTTTTTTATTATTAAAACCCTTATATCTCTTAAATACTATATTCGATACTTCTGATCAATACCTGATATTAAAATAAATCTAATTATCCAATTATTCATGACTATTAAGACGAATTTTTTTTTTTTATTAAATATACCATGAGCAATTGTGTTCACAAAAATTTACTTTTTTCATTTGAATTTTCCAAAATCCATAATGTTAAATGTAGAATTTAATATTTGTCAATATTATGCTTATTTTAGAGAATATTATTCTCTATAGCTTTATAATCACAATCACATTTTTGGTATCTTATATTTAGAATATTTTAAATCATATATGCTTGATTTTGATAACTAACCATTTCAGTTAGTTAACAAAATTTATCATTTATAATTCAGCCATAACAATGTTGCAAATACAGAAATACTATTATATCTTCAACATAAAATAATATTTTATTATTTAATATAAATACATACCAAAAATTAAAAAAAAAGAAAACAATATTAATTTTTGTTCGAAAATAGTATACTAAAATTTTACTCATTTTCAATAAACATTTATATAATTCATTTATATATTTAAACTTCTCTATAAATTATTTATTTTTATTTCCATATGTTTCTATATATATTAAACTTTTCCGAGTTAGTTTCAGAAAAGTTAGTTTGGGTTTTGAAACTTTTTATAATAAGTAAAAATAATATTAAAATTTTAGAACAAAAAATTAGTATTACTAATTATAAAAATAATTTACTAATATATAAATTTCATCAAAGTTTATCCTATTTGTTTAAATTATTACTATATTTGAAATTATTCAAAAAACTATAATCTTTTATAAAATTTCTAAAATTAATTTTTCATTTTATGATAAAACTGCGATTGTTATATTACTCCACAAGTAACAATCACAAGCCACCTTTTTCTTTTTAAATTCTCAACTTATTTGCTAAACATGTGAATTGTAATTTTTTATTAAAGTTGTAAGTAAAAATCATTAGTAGATGTTTGATATGTAAGGATAAAGTTATATTAAGAACATACTCAGTGGTAGGGTTTGGTTGGGTAGGGTTAAATATATATTACACTTAATCATAAAGAAAAATGTAATTATTCATTAAATAAATTACTAAACACGAAAGGTTTTTAAGTCTAATGGCTACATAAGAGGTATTATTTATAAGAACAGCGATTTAGTTATCGAATCATTTAAATTTATTTAATAATTCAGTCATGTTAAAACAATGAAAATTAAAATAAACAAAATTTAGTTCATTGATGACAGATTTGTAATTTTTGACAAATAAAGAATAATTAGCAAATTGAGGATGATACTTCATTGGCTGAATAAGTTTCTGAAGTAGATTTCGTAAAAGTAGAGGAATATGATCTATCAGTAGCAAATGAAGTAAATTCTTCAACATCAGAATCAATGGATTGTGAATGATTATTATAATATTCACACAAAGATTGTCTCAATGCTTTTCTAGTATCATCACAGTCTGATGATTTATAACTTTCGTATAAAGTCACAAAATCAGTTTGACCTTTTTTTTTGAAAAAATCAATAACTACTTCAACGGAAAATCCATCAAAAACTTCAAAAATGTCTTTACCGCTTGAGGTTAATACAGAAGAAACACCCAAACTTTTTGTAACTGATCCAACATTTGATACGGCGTTATTTACGGTACCGTCAACGATATCACCTACCAAACAACATGATTGTCCGATTGTAATAATCTGTTAATATGAAAAATATAAAATATATCACCGTGTGAAAAACTTCATATTTTTAAAATATAATATAGTTAAAATTAAAAATATTTGTATATTACATTAATAAAACGACTTAATTCATATTACAAAAATTCTTAAATCCAATAAAAACGAAACTTACTATAGAAAAAACAGCGGCAGTGACAAAGAAAACTTTTAAAATCATATTATTTTAGTTCGATTCTGATATATTAAAATCAACAAACGACTAAATAAAAATAGTAATAATGATAACTAAGAGAGGGACTCTTTATATAGTATTCAACAATAAAAAGTTAACATAATACAATTTATTTACATAAGAATATATACTAATCAAATGTCAGTATGTTTCAATCAAACAATTGATATTCTCTACAGATAAATATTTAAGTTATGTATTGACTTGCAGTCGCTAAAAATCGAACAAACGATTTTTTTTTTTTTAAAATTCGTTACACTACAATTTTGATTAACTCTATTATTATTTATGGACCCAATTATACAATAAAACTACAAAAATGTCATCATATGCAATTTACACCATCTTATGCACCAAATCTAAAATTTAAAATTAATGTAATAAAATATTAATTATTCGATAGAATACAACTTAATAAAAAAATAATTAATTAACCGACTTTCCAACAACCACAGTATGCAGTGGATCAAAAACCTTAGAGCGCAAATGATAATCTAAAGGTCAAAAAATCAATGAAAACACAATCAGTTCAATATAAAAATTAAATAAAGAGACAAATTCATAACGATTCTCAAGGAAAATTTATTATGTAATAAATAAAAGAAATGAAATTGCATCTCAACACTTATTCTTTTAATTAATAAAAAATCAACTGCAAAATGAATCAATTAAAATATGTGGATGCAACAGAACTGCTTACGGTAGATTTACTGGTTGAGCTCGAACTTGAGCTGGATGAAGTTGAGCCATTTGTTTCGCATTCTTTCAGATCGTTAATATCGGTGTCCAGACTATCGTTGTTTGTGTAGTATTCATACAAATAATCTTTAAATGCCGTTTCGGTTTCAGACGTTTTTGATGAATTGTAACTAGTGTACAATTTTTCTAATTCAGTCAATCCCTTCTTTTCGAAAAATGTTGATAGTGTGTCTTCCGGGTAGGCCGTAAAAACATCAAATATATCTTCACCGCTAGACGTAGTAACAGGTGTTACATTTGATAATGAACTAGAACTGTTTGCGGTAGATTTACTGGTTGAGCTCGAACTTGAGCTGGATGAAGTTGAGCCATTTGTTTCGCATTCTTTCAGATCGTTGA